AACAGAATTTGTAGGAGAGTGGAAGGAGAGGTAGAAGGAGCCATGAATTTTGCAATATACATTCTCAAATCTAAATAGATGATATTAATGTGAAGGAGATTGTTTTGGTTGTTGTTATAAATATTCAGTAAGGATTTTTGAAACAAAATAGTGTAGTATAAATGATGGACTTAGAGTCTTACACTATGTGAGCCATACCCAAGTATAATAAGAGAACGTGTGGAAACAGGGAGTAAAATCCATGAACAGACATCATCTTATTGGGGGAGGGGAGGAAAGTGAGAAAACACAGCATCTGGAAAGCGAGCCATTAACAATTGAGTTTCAAATGCAAACATAGAAAAGTTGTCAAATACACAAGGTAGGACAGGGAATCACTCCAGCCACCATGGACAGAGAGAAGACGGATGCTCCACGCTCACCCCACTCCAAATGCATGAAGGTCAGCAGTGGGCACTCGTGAAAGACGGAAAAGCAGCCCTCTGGGCTCCTGTGATTATACAGCTGCTCTGAACACAGCAAGCTCTGTCTCTCAGTCAGGTCGGTTCCCGGGACAATGAAAGTGATGTGAGCAAGTCTGAAGATACAGCCACGGAAAACAGGTAAATCCTTGGAGTCTGAGGAAGTTTCCAACTCACTTCTCTTGATAAAAAGAATTGTGGAGCAGAGCCTATTTTATTCTCCAATCCACAGATACTATTAGTTCTAGCATATCATTTTGCTGCATACCATATAATCCACTGCTGAGCACAAAGAATGACTATGAGGCTTTAAAAAGTCTTTAAAAGAGAAAGCCCAGTGGTTAAGAATGTAGAGCAAACGGGCTGTTAGATTATTGATGTAACTGTGGGTAAACCAGGCAGGCCACCTTTAACATTTTTGAGGACATTGAGTCTTGATATCTTTTAAAAATAACATATTAAAACTATTTTTTAACTCTCTGAAATTCAGATTCTCTGTAATGAATTTAAACAATGTGGTGGCATTTTGTTTTGAAGGTGAACTAATCATTTGAATAATTATGCAATATTTATAAGTTCTACATTTCTCTTTCTTTCTTTTTTGATAAGGATGATGACTGAAGATAACGTATTAAAAGTATTACACTGTCACTTTACCCACACCACCTCTGTATCTCCACAAGAACCTTCGGCAGGACCATGTCATCCAACGAAGCCCTGAGGACAGGTATTAATAACCTGAGGCCGTCAAAGCGCCAAGTTGGGAGGGAACTGAGGTGGCTTCTCTACAGTACCGTCATCTGGTTACTTTTTCAGTGATGCACACCATCTCACATAGACTGGCCATCTTTCCAGAAATGATTACTGGCTATATGTCCCATGCTCTGTAGGATCCTCTCATTTGAGAGGAATCATATTTAGGTTGATCCTTGTCGAAAATCAAAAAAACGAAACACACTCAATGGATGGTTTAACCATGATACTGCACAAAGTTGAAAAACAATAATGAAATAAAAATCTTAAGAAATTTCCCAGAATACAGCCCAAAGACAAGGAAAAGAAAATGTGAAAAAGAAATCAGGATGTAACTGACAGAATGAGGAGTTCTAACACACATCCAATCCGCGTCCCAGGGGAGAGACTGGAGAGAAGATAGGCGAGGGCACACCCGCCAAGATAAAGGTCGAGAATTTTCTATAACTAACTCCGAGACAGAAAACATGAGGCGTCAAAAGTAGCAGAAATACAGAAGGATCTGTATCCAGTCCCCACGTAGGAAGCTGCACACACCACCAGCAGAGGTCAACAAGCAGCCCGAGAAGAGCCCTCCCCGGGAACAGCAGCCATGTTGAGAGCAAACACTAGAAACCAAAGGGTGGAAACCATGTTCAAAGTTTCAGAGAAAATAACCCGTGTTAATATAAGCTGAATAGAGTTTGCCACCAACAAGCCTGAAGTTCTAGTGAGAGTCCTTGGGAAAAAAGAAAACCGATGGCATATGGAGCATTAAATGCAGTAAGTCATGATGAGAAATGAGGCTGTAAACATTTCCGTAGACAGCAAGCTTAAGAATCATGACTTATGTGGGGTGAAGAGTGGCTTCATAGCCAACAGCACATAGTCAGGACAGGACAATCCAGTGTTATAAGGTCCTTGTATTATTCTAGCAGGAGGTTAAGATATTGTATCTTTACATCTTACAATCAAAGTATAGATGGTAAAATTTCAAAGGCAACCTCTAAATAAATGGAAATGAAGTCCATAAATTTCAAACCTGTAGAGGAGAATTGTTTTAAAAGACACAATAAATAGTAAGAAAATAACTAAAAATCAAGAAGGAAAAGTAGCATAGTAAAGGGACAAATGAAAATCAAAAGGCACAGATCAGAAACGAGGGGAACACATCAGCGATCACCATAGCCTTGAATGGAAGTCTATGGATTGTCAGCCCAGAGTGTGGAAAATAAGAAAAAGGGTGCAAAAATGCAAAGAAAGTGAAAGGAAAGAGACCACAGAAATGAGTAAAAAACATGGTGCATGGATCCATGGAGCCAGAAGTTGGTTTTTTGAAAAAATGAGTAAAATGTGCAGTCTCCTGTTGAAATTCATTAAAATAGAAAAAACCTTATGGAAAAATATTAAAGAGGACCTAAAAAAGGGAGCAGTATATGCTTTTCACAAGCAAGAAAGATGATTTGTCCAGTAGATCTAAATTTCATGCAATTACAATCAAAACCTCAACAGACTTTTTGTGGGATCTGATCAGAGGCTTTTAAAATTCACAAAAAAGAACAAAAGAAGAGAGAAGATGGAAAAAAGAAAGTGAATTAGGAGGTGGGGAGAGGGCTTAGCCTACAGATCACAAAGTTTAAGATAATAGTTAGTAATGAAGTAGTGCGGTGCTGGTACTATGTGGACACATGGGATCCAGCAAGGCCTCAACAATAAACGCGGCGGCCAGGCTGTATGGAGCTGTACGACCGCATGGCATTGAGGGTCACTGAGGAAAGCGGTGGGGACAGCTGGTTTCCCATGAAAGTGGGTCTGGACCCCAGCCTTTCACATGTTTTCCAACAACACATCTCACCTGCCTTAGAGACCTGAAGTGAAAAACAACCTTAAAAATATTCAGAAGAAAATATAAGCAGATACCTTTATGAGCTTAGGGTAAGAAAGGATTTATTGAACAAGATCCTAAAACCACAAACTCTTAACAGGAAGAAATGGACACCTTTGGCTACAGTGAATTAACTTCTTTTTATCAATAGATAGCGTAAATAAAATGAAAACTCTGTGAGAACAGATCTGTGACCCATAACCAACAAAATATGAACTCCAGGCATATATGAAGAGCCCCAAAGGATCAGCTGGGAAACGACAAACAACTCACGTAAATGGGCAAAAGCGAGGAAGAGCATTTCACAGAAGAGGAGAAACCAAAGGTAAATGGGAACAGGAAAGGCAGATAGACCCCCTCAGTGATGACAAAAATGAGAACAAACCCTGGGAGACAGCAGACATTTTACACCCATCGAGCTTGGAAATACTAAGTCCAAAAACACCCAGCCCTGGAGAGGCTGGGGGTCGCCCGGAATTCCCGGTGCTGGAGGGAAGGTTGATCGGCAGCCATGTGTAGAGAGAAGTTGTCATTATTTTGAAAATCAAACACTGGCATCACTTCGTACCCAGAAATTCTAGCTCTGTGTCTACAGCCAAGAGATATTTGTGAGTATGTTTATGGCAGCCCTGATTTTAATGACAACAAATTGGGGAAAAAACCCAGGAAACAAAAGCCAAATGTCCAGTGATGATTGACAATCGATAAATAAATTGTAGTATATTCACACAATTAAATACCATATGGCAACAAACAAACAAAAACACACTAGGCCCGCACACATTTGTGCATCTTAAAAACATAACAGTAGGTAAAACTGTAAATCCCAGAGACCTATGACAGAACAATATTCTATAAGGCTCAACGTAAGATGAAACGGTCTATTTTTCGGGATATATACATATGGATAAAGCTATTTTTTTATCAAGGGGATGACAAACTCAAGATTCAGGATGCTGTTTATTTCGGGGCAGGCCGGGAACGGTACACAGGAGTGACACATCGATAGAGGTACAAGCTAGTGACAATATTCTAGTTACTGATCTGAGTGGTGAGTTGTTGGGCATTTGTTTTCTGAGTTTGCTTCATGACTCACACAGACGCTAAGTGCAATTTTTAAGTATCAAGAACTGTATTAGAAGATTAAAAATGAAAAGGTGTGCTGTTTCAGAAATGTACTGTGCGCACGTGAATCTTTCTCTCTAGGCTCTGCCTGTAGGTCAAGCAGCTGGTCCTTCTGACGGTGGGACTGGATCTGATTTCCAAGGAAACATTGTTTCAAACTGTCACAGGAGTCTAATTGGTATCACTAACAGCTCAGTGGTGGGAGTCAGTGGAGGGAGGAAGGCTCCGCACCGGCCGGCAGGGGCAGGTCTGGGCCCAGGTCTCTGAGGGAGGAGGCCCTGCAGCGGAGCCCAGAGCCACACCTCCCCCTTCTGTCGCTCAGCTCTGGTTTTCTGGGGACGGTGGAGGCTGGGAACACGACAAATACTCGTTGGCAATACACAGCGTCGGACTTCCTAGGTGACTTCTACTAATTCAGGAATGAAGCCCCTGCAGTGTCCCTTGCATGTGAGTCTGATGGAAGCCTCCTGAAAACAACCTGCACAGGTCCTGTGGTCAGTGTTCCACGGTAAGTCAGAGGCAGGACCCTGAATTCCACCCCGAAACTAAGCCCTCCTGCCTGCTCACTGAGGTATTACGAATTACGACAAACTATCCTTAAAACACTGCATTAGAAAATACAATGACAAGGCGTCCCACCTGGGAACAAATGCATCCCAAAGCCATGTTTTCAGTCTTCCCCCTGAAACTGTCACCGTGACCTCTGCTGGGCAGTGGACTGGCCTTTTAATTCTGCCCGGGGAGCGTCTGGTGAACGGACGGCCCGTTAGGTTAAACGGAGGGAAAGCCATGCTTACTGTGTTGCTGGAGTTGCCGTTCAAATGCAGACCGCTGTCGAAGAGGGGAGAGGACGCCCCGCTGCTGTGGTCGCTGGATGGTCCCGGGGACCCTGGAAACAAGCAGAGACGTTCATTCCAAATGGGGCTCCAGGGCGGGTCCCCCGAGATTACAAACGCCTTCACTGCCACCTGGGGAAGTCGACAGGACAAACGCCCGGTCCCCAGTGGAGGAGTGGGAGGCCGGGCACAGGCTGTGTTTCCATGCTGGCCCCGCACCCCTGCACGGTCATGCGGCCACCTCAAGTGGAAAGCAAGGTGGGGGAACGCGTGCCCAGCTCGCCGTGAGGCTGCGCAGGGCCCAGAGAGACAGCAGCTCCTGCATAGGCGCCTCACCCCCTACGTCACCCGGGGGGCCGTCAGTGCTGGTCCACGGGGGACTGTGTATATTTGTGCTTTCTACCGCTAGGATGCTGTTGGCTAATTTCCTAAAAGTTACTCCTGACTTCCTGATCTTAATTTTGTTATTATTTGTTTGGCATTTTCTGATTACCTTTGCTCTACAGATTGCTTCAGCGGAAAATCTAAAGATAAACCAGGAAAGTTTGTGGACAGCGGTATTTAAGCAGCAGCAGCAGCTAGAGCCTCAGCAGGGAGCCGAGGTCGGGGGCCTGGAATGCTGGCCCCAGTCAACTGAGGATCCAGGACGAGCATCTCATCTCCAGCATGTCAATACCTTTCTGAGCCACGGTCTTCTTCTCCAGAAGTAGACACTGGTCTAAGTGGTCCCCATCACTCCCCTCTGACGGGAGGCCCCCAGCACTGGGGGGCCGGGGACACCTGTCCCCACACTCGCTCCCCACTGTCCTGTGATAACTTTCGTGCTGGCCCGCCGTTCCCCGTTCCTTCTCTGGACTGTGGCCCTGGGAGCACCGGGCGAGGCCCGGTGTGGGCGAGGCAGAGCCTCTGTCTCCACTCTGCTCTCAGCGTGAGAGAGCAGTGTTCCCGCATCTCACAAATGCACCAACAGACAGGACGAGGGGCAGGGAGCGCATCAGCTTATGTCAGTACTGATTGTGGGCCAGCGACCATGCTCGGCAGCACGGGGGAGCCACCGGACCCCGCGCCTGGACAGGCCACCAGAGCCATGGGCGGCGAGGAAAAGACAGCAGAGCGCAGCCCCGGCCTGCTGAGCGGTAGGCGCCTTCTCCTGAAAATGATGCAGAAGCAGGACTCGGACTCCGCGGGCCCAGGACGGACCGCGGCTGCACTCAGGCTGCACGCCTCACTGCCCTCCGGACCCAGTCGGCAGCTTCAGAGGAGCCAGGGACCCACTCCTCTCCCATCAGCACGGGCGACTGGACTCCTCGGATGGGCCGGCCTGGGTTCAGCGTGTGGCCTGGACAAGGCTCAGTGGCCAACCTGGCACACAGGCTCATTGGTTTTCTTTTAGCTTGAAAATTTTCAAAGCCAACATTAGCCCTTCAGCAGCCAATTATTGGGGGAATAAATGACATTAGGCAGAGGTACCAAACTGGCAATTTGACCTACAAATTGTTTTGTTTAACAAAAACCAAGACATTTCACTTAAAAATCCAGATTTCTGACTTTCTTGGAAAAACGGGAAAAATCTGACACCAGTGGGGTACAGTTCTCCAAAGATAACAAACGGCCGGAGCTGAGCAGGACTGGCCCCTTCAGCAGGGACTGCAAACTGTGCCCAACCCCACAGTCTGTGAGGCCACCTGCCTGGCCCCGTAGCACCCGTCGTCCTCGCCCTCCAGAGAATGGTATAAAAGTGGACCAGACTCAGACAGACAAAGATGAGCACCGTCAGTCACGTCACCATAGCATCCTTGTAACTTGACGAGAACTGAACTAAAAGCCTTGTGTACGTCATTTATTACTTCAAAATGCAACCCTCTGACGTGGTATTTTTAATTAGCACCACTTCACAGATGAGGAAACTTAGTGGGATACTGTGCAATTACTGTTTGTCATCAGTTTTCTCCTTTGAAAACAGGGGATCATACCAAACACCCCAGCGGTGGTTCGAGGGAGCATCTGAAGGCTCACACGCACAGCACCTGGCACAGTTCAGGTAAGGCAGGGGCTCAGGCGACCCAGTTTCCCTTACACACTGGACAGCACAACCAGAGCTTACAGACTGCTCCACAAAATCCAGATAAATTCAGGGGTCTTCACACTGATGGTGAGTTATCAAGGGAAAGCAGAATGATTTCATGCCATTTCCAAAGCCTGGGAATAGTGTCAAGAAGAAAGGCTGTGTTCTCTGACACCCCCTATCCCCCACAATATTTTCTGGCCAGAATATGAGGGTGGGCAGCTCCCTGTGCAACATTCACTTTGTGCTGATGGCACACAAGAACAAATACTTGATCCTGCAGCCTGACCACGCGCAACTCCCCTGCCCCGAAAGTCAGGGGCATCTGGGGGTTACAGTCACGGAGCCCTTATCGATCCCTGAGCAAAGTCCAGGGCCTGTTGTGAGCCCATCTGAGCACCTGACTCGAGGACAGAAGTGCCGAGAACGGCACAGAAACAGGATCTGTCATCGACTGGCCATGAATCGTCGCAACTACGCGTGCTGCCAGCAGAATGGAGCCTTGAGCTTCCCGCCCCCAGCGCCTGTGGGAAAGGGGTGTGTGAGGCTGGAATGGAACGCCTGACTGATACAGACAGACACTGACGGAACTGACACATATCTAACCCGGATGCCTTACCGCTTGATCTGTATCCACGTCCCAGGATTAAAATGAAGGCCAGACGACATCACACACGCAAAGTCGTTCGGAAACCACCAGCCTCTCTCACTGCAGATGGAGCGTGGTGCAGCCTGGCGATGTGGGGGCTCTGTGGCCACTCTTACCCCTCAAATCCACCCCTGCACCTTTCGAGGTGCAGGGTCAGCCAGCTAATACACTCTCTTGTATCCTTTTCCCATCTAAAATATCTGAAGACCTCAAATTTCTGTAAGACACTCCACATCATATGCCTACATGCAAAGTCATGTACTAAAAGGCTCTGAGAATCTGGACGTGAGAACTACTTAACTTTGCTTAAACGGTCATTCTCAATTTTATTTGACCACCAAACTTTCTTTTCTGTTTTCGTTTATAACCGTAAACCTGCTACCCATGTAGCGCTGTGTGAAGCCCCCACCGCGCAGCGCAGTTTCTGCTCCAGCACTGTCTTCTTTCCACCCGCTTCCTGCTACTCTTTCTATCTGCAGCTCTTCTCCAAGGCCACGCGTTTTAGCTCCGTAACTAGATCATCAGTGACTTGAGAGCAAAATCAAAATCTTTCTAGTTTTCTTCATTCTCTAAAACCCCCAAGGACAACGCTGTAGATAGACGCCACACATAACTAAAAGTTCCAAATAAATAATGATTGAATGAGTGAATGAATGAATGAGTGAATGAATGAATACATTTTAATTTGACACTTGTTTGTAGGCTCTTGGTTTCTATTAACTTAATTCTGATGAATATTTTTTCATCTATTATCCCAAAAGAGAAATTTGAGCAGTTGTAATAGATTTTTTTATCACCAACAAAATCCACTACTTAAAAAATGATCAGTATTAATAATTACTAATGATAAAAATAGACTTAGTTGGCGTCAAAAACCAAGCAGTTTGGCGGAGGCAGAGCCTTGACCTACCCCGGAGTCCACTTTTGGCAAACAGGGCCAGACCACCGCTTCCAAAGAAGGGAAGCGGCCAGCTAACTGAGCGGAAGCTGAGTGGGAGGGGGATGGGAGACACAGCAGAAGCCAATGGGAACCCAGTGCACCCTCTTCACCTGCACCGACCTTGGCGAGAGAGCGCCCCACCCTGTCAGAGCCCCGAGGGCGGCCCGTAACTGAGGCCCTGAGGCCCCGGGGGCCACGCAGGCACCATTGGCCATGTGCCGACTCCTGAGAGACACCCCAGGTGCCTTCCGTGCAACACCGTAAAGTGAACCCCCCTCTCTATCCGTGCACACAGACGCCTACAGGACAGAAGTGCAGGTGGGCAGACTGACACACCCCTGGTAGTGTGAGGCTGTGATCCAGCCGCCCTCCACGTCTACAACGCCAAACACTCGAGGTTGTCACCAACGCTCAACCTTGACTGTCAGGGCCTTTTACACGCTTCTGGAAGGAACCCCAGTGAAACCAGAGAAACATGTTGCTCACGCCGTCTTATACGAGAACCCCGAGTGCAGCCGACAGCAGCTCACTCTGCACAGTGGACTTCTTACATCATCCTTCTTTTAGACATTCCTTCTGAGATTCAGAGAAACTGAGAGACCATGTGCTCTGTCTCTGCTCTACTGTCAAGGTGCTCAGACATCCGGGAGGGCCGTGCCCCAGCTCTATTACATTTCCTTAGTTTAATCTCTGCGTTTCACCCGAACTGCAAACCCTTCCTCCACCTCAGTTATGAGCCGAATGTGTGTGTCCCCCAAAATTCAAAAGTTGAAATCCTAACCTAGAGTGATGGTATTTAGAGGTGGGGTCTTTGGGAGGTGACTAGGTCATGAGGGTAGAGCCCCCATGATGGCATTAGGGTCCTTATAACAGAGACCCTGAAGAGTCCCCTCGCCCCTTCCTCCATGCGAGGACACAGCGAAAGACGGTGTCTGTGAAACGGGAGGAGGCTCTCACCAGACACGGAATCTGCTGACATCTTCATCTGGAAGGTCCAGCCTCCAGAACTGTGAGAAACACGTCTGTGGTTTAAGTCTGTGGTGGTAAGTCAGCCCCTAGCAGATTGAGAGCCTCCACGTCAGCCTGACTCCCTCTGCTCTCTCCATTCAAACTGCTCAGCCATGCTCGTTGGCTTCATTCAGTGGTCCCCAAGGACTGGGCGTAATTGGCCATGAGGAGAACAGGAGAGGGATGTGAAATTCTCTTTGGGATACACAAGTCAAATGTGCTATTGCCTTCTCATTTTTTAAATATATGCATTCTTCTCCTTTTCAATCTACTATGTTCCTCTTCTTTTCCAAAAACCTATGAAATACTGTAGGTTAGTGTCATCCTCCTCAATCCTGAGGGTTACATCTGCTTCAGAACATCAAATGCTAGTCTTGCCCGTCTCTGGTCCTCTCACCCTCATGAGGACCTTCAGAGAGGCCAGTGCTCAAGGCCCCATGGGATGTGACACAGTGCTACGTGTATTGTTTCTCTGAACTTTTGGACTAATCTCTTAGGTTTTTCACTTTCCACTACTTTGCTCTGGAGTACTTGCCTTTCTGCACACACAACCCCTCGGTGTCCCTTCTTTTCATCCTGGACCCTCTGGGAACTCTCTGTCAACCTATCCTACTACAGACGTGTTCGTCTTGTAAGAAGACAGGACATGTGGTGAATCTTACTGATGTATTTTCACAGCAATGGGAAGAATATCAATTTTTCTAAGAAGAGTGAAGAGCATAGTTATCCCCTTATTGTCTGGTGGGAAAATAAATGGAGTTGCTGAAATTGATTTGCTCAGAGTTACTCAGGAAGATGTAAGTAGAAACAGGACTACGAGTTCATTGACCCTTTTGTCAAATGCAGACCTTAACGCAAGATTGGGTTTCAGCAACTCTGGGGGACACGTCCCCCAGAGAGGTGTACCGGGGCCTAGGTCTGGCAGCCAAAGAAGAGAGGCATTGACAACGGGGGAAAATGAGAGAAGAGAGAGAAAATACAGAGAAGATAAGGTTAGACCAGGGCAGGGAACTACTTTTCCACACTAGAGAAAGAACAGAAGAAAGGAAGGAAAAACAGTCTAGAGGAGAAGGGGCTGCTGCTGGTGAGACGGCGGGGGCACCAGTTCTCCATCCGTCAGGTGGGAGGTCAAGCTTCTATGTCCGATTTGACCCTGTTGAGTCACCAGCAGAACTTCAGCTCCTGGGGAGTCTGAACTGTGCCTAACGCCTTATCTGACTGCCAAGGACGGCACCAGAGAGAAGGGCCCCTGGCCTATGATGCTAAATCAGAGGAATGATGATAACTTTATAAATTTTATAAAGACATGACAGCTGATAGAATAAGTAAAATTCATAATAACTATTTTGATTAAAATATTTTTATGGATTTGTGATTTATCACTTCCACACTGGATCAAAATTCATGTACAAGAGAGAATGACAAGCTCTGCATGAAAATATGGGAGGCACTTTATAGTACAGAATTACTGTTATTTTCTCTTTTACATTAAAACTTTCTTGTCAACATAGATATTTTAAATTCAAACTTTGTTTCTGTGTATGTGCATATATGTGTGTACAGGTAAACATAACCACAGCAAGTTGAAGAAGGAGACTTATAGTTAATTAATCAACAATTAATCAAGGTGTCTGTTGATGCATTCTCTTCAAAAGGGTGTGGATGTGTTAAAATGAAGAAACTCTCAGGAACACAGAACACTAAGGCGCCTCTCCGTGTCTTTACTCTGTCTGAATACGTGCTCAGGCCAGTGCGATTTGGACACAGAACGTGGTGGAGGAGGGAATCCCAGCCCCTGATACCTGCCCCCCCTTACCTAACGGGAGCTTCAGAAATGATGGTGCTTCCCTGAGATACTCAACAGTGATGGTCACTTCATCGCCAGCATTTCTCAAAAGATGCACCTGTCAACATGACAAAAAATAGCTGCTTTACCATCACAGAAGGACCAGACACGGAACTGAAAGACAAAATCCCTACACACCTCCCGTTTGTCAGGAATTCAGGGTTCACGATTATCTCCGAAACACGGAAAGTCCTGCAGGCTTACACTGGGACGGCAAAGGAGTGGCTCTGCCCCCCACAGGTCATCACTCCTGTGCTCTGTCCACAGGGGGCTGCCACGGTTTAACCACAAGACCAGGCCCTCTGCACACTCTAGGAGTGTAGTCTACCAAAGAGGGAAAATCACATGAGAAATCACTTGATTAGTACAACAGCCAATTTTCAGACATTGGCAAAACACATGCCAACTGGATTAACAGTCACAGCAAACCATAAATATTAGCTTCGAAGTTTAAATGAGATTTTAATTCTCAAGAAATGAGTGGGCATCACTGCAATGTGACGGAACACTTCTCTGCTGGAATGTCAAATCATCGTCACGGTTTCAGAACTTCACACGCAGTCGCGAATATTTCATCACTTACAGCATCTCAAGTCAGCTTCAGCGCCTGGTATGTTCACTGCTGTTGAAGTAAATGTGATTTAGACAGTAAGAAACCTAGAAGTCATGAAGCTGGACTTTTAGGGTCAGCGCAGGCCCACTCATGTGCGTCTGCAATGCCTTCTCTTCATCCTCATCACGGGGCAGGGGCGTCCAGCCCTCGCCCTCACCTCCACGTGCACCCGTCCCTACCCAGCTCTCCCCTCCCTCTGTCCTTGCCTCCCCTCCCGTTTTTTCTGTGACCCCCAAGTCCACATTCTTACTTGGACGCCGACAGTGTGGACAGCCTTCCAAAGCACTTGGTGGAGTGGGGGTGTGGTCAGAACCTGGATTACAAATATCTGAGGGCCTCCACGGCCTTGAGATCCACGAGTGCCCTTTTCCGTCATTCACGGACATTCCCCTTCGGGGAACCAGCCTCCTGTGCAGCTCTGTCGCCTGCTTTCTCCTCCCAGTTCCTCGGAGCTGCCCACCTGGACCCAGGCCGCCCCAAGGACGGTGCTGGCCTCAGGGCAGCTTCACCAGGCCTTGACCTTCACTTTCACCTAGTCCTGTGAAATCCCACTAAACACCCAGGCCCGCGTCAGAGAAAGTGCTGAAGCGCCGTCCCCAGCCCCGTCCAGGGTCTCCAGTGTGCTCCCTCCTGCTTCCCTCTCATGACGGGTCCCTGAGGCCCTGTGCTGACAGCCTCCTGCATCCAGGCGCTGTCGTGTCTTTTTCGCGTATTAAGTCGCGCCATCCTGTGGCACCGTCTCCATTCGACACTCCTGAGGCTGGTGCCCAGGCATGGGGCTGAGGCAGGCCTTCCCCGGGCGTCCCCTCCCTGAAGGCACCTCTTTCCCCTGCTGTCTAGACATAGTGTATTCACAGGCACACTGGATAAAACACCCCCGGCAGCCGTTCACCCGCTGTCTGGTGCCGCCCGTGTCCTGGGGAGGACCCACACCCTGCCCTCAAACATCCAGTAGACCAGTGACTACGACATGGAAGCCGTCTCAGACCACCTCACGGGGGTGCTAAAGCCCAATGACGAGAGACTTGTCTGGGACCATCCTCCACACCTGCAGAGGCCAGGGGAGGAAATAACCAGTCCCCATCAGCTTCTCCTCGCTGACAAGCAGCAGACCCTCAAGTTCTCCCTTGATGAATGGAATCCAGCATGAGTCTGAGGACAGCTCAAGGTCACTGCGTCCTCTCCTTCTGCCTCAAGAGGACCCAAGTCCTGCCATGCCCGTCCTGAGGAGCCCCCTGCTCTGGATATGGGAGGACATGGCGGGTCACAGAGACTCCAGGTGTCCTGGGAGCTCATGTAGTTTTAAACTTAAAAGACCAGAGCGTCACCTGGACAGCAGAGCCTGAGATTTTGAATCTCACTGCGATCACATTCATCCACTGTTTCCACCACGCGGATCTGCTCCCCAGTCAGTGTGCTTTAAGTTCTTCTTGGAATGAGCCAGGGTGTGCGTGTGTGTGTAAACACATGCGTGTGCACACACACACCTACCTACCGAAATAACGGAAGCAATTGTGTCTATTAAATAACTTTCACAAGGCTTTCTGAAGATGAAATGCAGTTTGAAGCATTAAAATCTCCTATTTAATAAAGGCTAATTAACCCAAAAAAGACCCACTCACATATTTACCTGAATCTGTCCTTCAGGGTAGTTCGCTGGGCCCTTGGAGAGATATCACTTTGGACAAGCTAATTTTATCTGGGAGGGACAGTAAAGCACGTGGCAGAGTGGTCTGAAAAATGAGGCACTTTTAATTAAAGAATGGGCTCAGCTTCAACTTATCATTATTTTTCAAATCCCAAATGCTTGCCCTGCCTTGATGTTTTGGACTTCAAAATGCCTGAATGAGGCAAAGCTTCTTGCTTCATCGTCAAACTTCTTTTTTATTTAGTTCAAAGCGTATATGTGGTGTTTGAAAACACAGTTGAGTGTTGACCATTAATGCCATCAAATTTTTTAATTTTTTTTTTTTGTGTGAGGAAGATCAGCCCTGAGCTAACATCCATGCCAATCCTCCTCTCTTTGCTGAGGAAGACCATCTCTGAGCTAACATCTGTTGCCAATCCTCCTCCTTTTTTCCCCCAAAGCCCCAGTAGATAGTTGTATGTCATAGTTGCACATCCTTCTAGTTGCTGTATGTGGGACGTGGCCTCAGCATGGCCGGAGAAGCGGTGGGTCAGTGCGTGCCCGGGATCCGAACCCGGGCCGCCAGCAGCTGAGCGTGCACACCTAACCGCTAAGCCACGGGGCCGGCCCCAAATGCCATCAAATTTAATGAATGACTTCAAAACCATTTCTCCATCCTCAAATCATTACCCTAAGACTGATAGGTGTCAGGAAGAGACAACCTGATTTTGTGGCTTGAGTGTCGACGACAGTGCTCCTTTTCTACCACACAGCAGCACGATTGCTTTCTGCATCTAATTAAGATCAGGAACTATGGCGCCCTTCTGCCTGCACCCTGACCTCTGGGGCACGTCTGCTCTGTCCTCACAGAACGAGCACGGGTGCGAGTCTCCAACCTCCGACTCACCAGCTGTGCCGTCACGTTCTCACAGGTAAGTTGGGTGTATTTCTTTTTTAGAGAGGATTCGACTTCCATATGAATTTTTCCCCAGCTTTTAAAATGCCACTCAAGCCATTTAAACTAGAGGGCATCTCAGTCAGCTCCAGCCGCCATAACAACACACCACGGACGGGGGGCTTCCACAGCAGACATTCATCTGTCACAGCTCTGGAGGCTGGAAGTTTAAGATCCAGGTGCGGTCGGGCTCGACTTCTGGTGAGGACTCTCTTCCTGGCTTTCTGACAGCCGCCTTCTCACCATGCCCTCATGCATCCTCATGAGGCAGGGAGAGAGAGAGCACTCATCCCATCGTGGGGGCCCCACCCTCATGATCTCTTCACCTCCCAAAGGCCCCACCTCCTCACGCCATCACACTGGGGGTTAGGGCTTCAACATAGGAATTTAGTGGGGGGCACAAGCATTCGGTCCATATCAAGGGGCAGGCAATTAGCCCAAGGCAAGGACTTTGTGACGTGAGCAGTTTCTCCCCATAGCCTTGCTGTGGGAGGCGTTCCAGGGAGCAGAGAAGTACACCTGGTACGGTTCTATATGCAGAGGCCATAGAGTTTTAACTGAAAGTATAACACATTCGATATTTTAGAATATGAAATATATAAAAATATACGATGAAAGAATAAATGTCTTTCACATACCAGATTCCTGGTTTCACCCCTCAGAGACAACTGTTACTAGCATATTTCGTGTGTCCTTCCAGAAATTGTCTATGCATTATCTAGAAGGCCTTCTTTTTTGAGGGCATTTTTGGTCATATCTATCAGAATTCACAATTTGTGTGCCTTTTGGCCCAGCGCCCACAGGTGCAGATGCATCAGCACGGGGGAATGAAGAGGCCCATACAGGAATGTTTATTGTAATACTGATCCCACTTATTTGCCGTGTTTTCACTTAGATGGAACTATGGCCTGGACTCCATCAGACACATTGCTTTCTTCACCTAAAACATACATCTTGCAGCTTATCCTGTCTCAGTTCACACAGCTCTATCCCGCTCTCTTCCACGGACGCACAGTGCTGCGTTTTATGAATGCTCCATGACCGATTCAGTGAATCCTTCATTTTCAAATCTCTGTTGAGTAGGTTCATCACCCCCTTCATTCACAACCTTATTTGTTTCTTCACTAATGTTTCCTCCCAGTTCTCATCGGAGCCTCCGTATCTTGAATTACCACAAGAAACTTGGGAAAAACTCTTGGTATTATTAATTTCTCTTCTTTTACTTGTCCTCTGTGTTTTCTGATTTTGTTTAAATTTGCACCTTCATCTTTATTACTTCCTCTTTTTATTCCTGTGGGCTGTTCTGTTGCTCTTTCCCCAAACTCTTGAGGTAAAAAATGTCTCTTTTTTGTCTGTTTACTTCCTTGCTTTCTAATAAACATATTTAAAAACTGCTAATCTTTCCCTAAGCATTACTTGGTTGTAGCCCATAAATTCAACATGAAGTGTTTCAATGCTGATCATTTCAGTATTTTGTATTTTTCCTTTTAGCTTTTCTTTTCACAGAAGCAGAACTATTTTTAAAGTTTCTAGATATCTGGAAAATTTTTAAAAGCAATTTTCATTTCATTTAGAGGCTATAATCTGTATTATGGTTCCTCTTGGCTTCCTCTGTGGCCTGAGCAATTGTTGTGAATGTTCCACGTGTTCCTGAAAGAATGTGAGTTTTCTGTTGGGTAAATATGCGTGCTTACAGGCAAGCCGTTAGAAACATGCAATTTGGAGATGGCATCGATGTTTATTAAGTTGTCATCAGTGTTTATCTTTCTGTCTCGGCACTTTTCCCTCATGGAAAAGAGAAGGTAGTTTGCCTTCAGCGGTTTTCTCTAGAATCTCATTGCTCTCTGCAGAACAGGAGTTGGGTGAGTGTCCTTCTGACCCCCTCCTGTCACGGAGACAGAGAATGGTGGTGTGCACTCGAGAATCCCACCAGTCAATCCTAATCCCACTGCTTCTCCGGGTGAACTCACAGACAGGCAAATATTTTTTTCAAGTAATTTGTTATACGAATTTTTAAATGCTTCATTCATATGAATTTAAGTGAATAAAAGGAAGGTTTAGTTTACGAATGCTCCCTTACATTTAAAAACAGGACACTTTGAACAAAGAAGCTATTTTATTGTAAACGACGACAATGTCCTTCCTTAGGGCCACAGTCAGCGGTGGGTCTTCTAAGGCAAAAAATAGCAGTTTATGCAATGGAGCCACCTGAGCTGCATCACGTCCACTCGTTGCTCTGACCCCTCGGGACGTGTGCGGTGGCGTCTGATGGACAAGGGACGGCGCTGTGCTGGCTGGGCAAGGTAACTTTGAAGCACTGACTTGTGCAGAGAGCAATGAGATTCTAGAGAAAACCGCTGAAGGCAAACTGCGTTCTCTTTTCTCAAATGACGCATGAAATCTCTCTCCTTGGAGCCGTGACTTCAGCATCCTCCCTGACCCCCAGGGCCCTGCCCTCGGGTCCACGCTGCCCTTGGACGAGGCCAGGCCATCCGCACCTGACGCACCTGGTGTGAGTGAGTGACCGAGCCACTTCAAGAGTCTGGGAGCTTTTCCTTTATTTCCCTGAACAGAGACAAAACTGCGCTGTACTTCCCTGTGGAAAATGGCTTGGCTCACTTCTACGTAAATACACCACAATATTAGAGAAACAGGACTTCACATAGTAAATTCTTCATTCCTCACATTTCTTCTCATCGCCAGCGCTCTCAATACGGAGCCCCGTGTTTGCATTCACAGGATGCACTTACGGAAGTGAGAGAATCGTGTCAGAGCTGGAATGGCTCTAACTGTAAAAGCCTCTGTGAAAATCTTTACTCTTACCTGGTATCCTTCCAACGTTCTGCGTGTATGTGAGGAGTATGCTAACCATCCACTAGCCAGCGTGTCATCGAAACCATCCACCAGCCCAGGACAATCTGGACATCTTAATCTCTCTCCTTTAATACCAACAAAAACAAAGCATTCCCACATCTATTTATGTATTACACCCTCAGGTGTAATCGGTGCACACACGTCACTATTTACCAAAACAGAGAAAGCTCCACTCCCCCCCTCACCTGGCCCCATCAGCACCATTCACTCACTGACCCAGTCACTCATTCGTCCATGGCCAGTAATTTATTGAGTGACAGCCGAGTGCTGGGCAGAGACTCAGGCAGTGGCCCCCAGCCCCTTTCACGCGATCGAGATGTCCCTCTGAGACTGCATTTAAAGGAGGCGCTTACGATACAGTAAGTTTACAGGAAACACTGGCTTCAACCCGGACCCTGGCAGAACACAGAGGGACAACCACAGCACTCCCCAGCACAACCGCTGGCCTAGCATCTGCCCCCGAAGGAGGCCACGATTAGAAACGATTACGCACCTTCTCCAGAGTTCTGTCACCAGAGTGGCCTCACCTGTCCGACATTCCTGAGAACTGGGTCACCACAAGGTGTCCCCGCCCTCCAGATCAGCTCCCCATCCCTAAGCTAGCCCCTCGATCTCCCCTTCCCAAGCCCTCCAGCTCCTGGCTTTAGTCACCAGGTTTGTTTTTGTCAGTAAAACCCGCAATGTGCTGGAATCCTCTAGACGCCTCGTACACCTTCTTGCTCGGATCACACCAGGTTGTGTCCTGAGAGGCTTGTGTCTCTCATGGGCCTGCTCGGGCTGCCGCTCTTGTCTCACGTGAGGGGCTTTCCCCCGGGGGTGGGCAGACCTCGTCCTTTCTCCTCCTCAACCTCCAGCTCCCCAAACACGCCTACCAGAGGAAACACCTCCCCCGTCCAGCGGGCCCCTCCTCGGCCTCTGCCACGACCAGGGATCTCAGGGTCCACTGCTGTATCTTCAGCGTCCACCCTTCTGTGGGCTTCTGCTCTCCCAGGATCTCACCGTCCACCCCACCTCAGCCCCACACTCCCCAAACTGAAAATATCTCCCTGTTCACCAACAACGCCCCCTCTGGATCTTAATTTTGAGCATCCCAGACCCTGTATCACTCTATTATCATCCCCCACTAAGTACGTCTCTACCACCCCACAGCCTCCAGGCCGTGGCCCCCACCACATTCTCACGTCATCACTGCTGCCCAGTCATCCCAAACTCACAGTCAACGGGCCGCTACTGTTTTCCCCTGCACCACAGTACTTGAAACTACTGTTCAAAACCACAACTTGCTTGTATTCAACACTTCTCCTCTCCACAACTGCATCCCGGCTACACGACTCGGCTGGAGGAAAACACAATTTCGGGTTGATCAATCTCATTGTAAATTCACGGCCATGGTTCTCAAGTGGGCTGTGAGAGCATCACAGGGCAGCTACCTACACACTCTCTTCACCCACGATGACTGCTTCACACCTTCTCCTCGAAACTGAACCTCTAACACCACTTCCTTCCCCCCCACTTGCAGCTGCTGATCATAGATCTTATTTCAGGGAAAAAGAAAAGAAAATGTCTCTGTGTTCCCACCACCAGATCTATCAACATACCCACATCTGAGCCCATATTCTGTCTTCCCTTCCCTTCAACAAAGGCATTGCCAGTGCCCCCTCTAAAGCCACGTGACTCCACTGCTCTAACCTCCTAAAACGCTTGCGCCTACAATGACTCCCGCCTCCTCCGTCATCACCGTTTCTTCCACACTGAACTGTTCCCTCTGAACAGTAACAGACCATAGTACCTTCTACACAAAACCTTCCCTCAATGCAACATCCGCACGCGCCCCTGCGCATTTCACCATTCCCCTTTACAGCAAGATGCTTCCTCCACCTCCCCTCTCGCTCATTCCTTCCTGAGCCCTCTCAGATCTCCCACTAAACCGGCCTCTGCCTTGCCCAGCTGAACGGCCAGTTCTCAGTCTTTTATCTAAACCAGCCCCTCAGAAGCCTGGACACAGTTGGCCACTCCGTATTTCTGTACGGGTTTCTTCCCTCTGGCTTCCAGTATCTGACACCACCCTGATCTCCCTCCTCTTCTTCTGTCTCACTGACCTTGCTCCGCTCCCCGCATTCTGAACGTGGGTGTCCTCCCAGGAGCAGTCCTCCGACACCATCTTCCTGCACCCCGACTTCCACCCCCCGGCTCTCAAACCCCGAATACACTCACAACTCCCAATTCTGTATCTACAGCCATGTTCCTCATCTCAAAGACTGGGCCTGCCGTGAAACTCATTTCTCAGACCTAAACTTGGAGTCACTGTGGAAGCCTCACTTTCTCTCAGAACCCACACTCAGTCCAAGAGCAGGTCCTTCCGATCTAACATAGTCTGACCATTTGCTCCACTTGCACACTGCTATCAAAGCAACATAAGTAGCGTGCGCTGGGTACTCGAGTCCACCTGTGCTTGGAGCTGAGCCACTGAATATGCACTGACTCTGAAATCTGTGCCTCTCCTTTCACTTTTAACTCTCTGCGCTCAGTGTTTTAAGCATTTCTCTGGTAGACGTCTCGTGTGCCTGTGTGTATGTGTATGCGTGTGTATGTGCACGTGTGTGCATGTGTGTACGTGTGTGTGCCTGTGCATATGTGTACGTGCACGTAGGCCTGTGTGCATGTGTACATGTGTACGTGTGTGCGTGTACGTGTGTGCGTGTACGTGCATGTGTGTACGTGTGCGTGTATGTGTGTGTGTGCGTGTGTTGGCAGGGAGACAGAATGGGAGGGCTGAGTTTCTGAGCCAAGAGGAGAGTTCATCTTTCTAAACAGGGACACTTCATCACATTTACAGTATGTTACAATATTCTAATTTATGTAGTTTGATGACACACTGGATCCCGCTGGTCCTTGACCACAGCTGTGTGAACTCCTGGGCTAATTTGAGGCAGGTGGTTAACTTCTCAGACTGCTCGTGCTCTTAGTATCTCGCTCTCTATTCCTATTTTACGACCTTTCGCTGTTTATTTACTTTATATGGTCGATATCATCTTTGACCCCTCTTTCCATTCACCTTTCTTTATCACCAATATTTCTCAACATATATGTACAACTTCATATTTTATAAATTGTTAACATTTTAACTTCAGACCATATGCTTAATCTTATTAAACATCCTAGAAAGAAACCGTGTGTTTTGGGGTCGTGCCCTATCCACCCCTAAAAGAAGAAGGAAAGTCTGTGTTTGCTCCTGCACCCTCTGGCAGGAAGCTGTCCCCACGTCTCGGCGCACCTCCTCATCTGTTCTGTGGTGATCAGCTACGGTCCTTGCTCCCAGCCGTTGTGGTCAGCTGGGTGATGTCAATAGACCTTCCCATCTCCTCCTCTGCACTCACAATCTGTGAGGATCCTGTTGCCCCAATGCCTTGTTCACACCGGCCCAACACACCTTGCATCTGGCCAGGATTCTTGGAAACTTTTAGGATTTCATGGGTTTTTTGCATAAGTAAAGTTACTTTTTTATTTTAATTATTTTGAGTGATTTCTCTCAGAATTGAGCAGATGCCCTATTATTTTAGGCTTGTTCCTAAAAGTCCTCTTTGATCTGAAATACCTAGAAGCGACATCTGCACTCGACATAACTAAGTCCCTATTTTAGTGCCTACAACTGCGTGTTGGCTCCCACAGGCACTGAACCCAACTTCCTTTATCGTGATTTTTGTTTGAAGTTAAGAAAATGAGTGTAGTCTTCAATCATTTGCATTGAGATATGGCTACGATTTTCAGCATCAACCATCTTTACTTCCTTAAATAACTTGCATTGTTCTCCTCTGTGCTATTAGTTATTGTCCACTCGGCCTTGTGGAGATCTAGCGTGAAACACAAACCACTGATGGCAGAGGAAATTAAACGCCCTCCTCCCCACTGACAATTAGACACTCTCAAGCAGTTCTCAACCACTGTGGATTTCCCTAATTTTTCATCATTCAATTTTAGTTATTCTATATACTCAGACAAGTGAATTTAAGGTTTTCCATAAAGTGATCCTGTTGTATAAATAACCATCATTCTTAGGCCTGAGATAACTTTACTTGTGCTTCTTTTATATTTTTATTTATATTTATAATCATATTTTCTTTATAACTCAAAGAAGCAGATCCTTTTCACGTATCATTCAAAGATAATACAATTTTTAAAATGTGGAAATTTTCCTTTGCATATTTTAAAATAACCATCATATAGCAATATGTCCTAGTTTATCACCGTCTGTAATAGTTGGTTTCATGTGTCTACTTGGCTAGGCTATAGTACTGAGTTAGTGAATCAAACATTAATCTAGGTGTTGCTGCAAAGGTATTTTGTGGATGTGGTTAAGAGTACATCTGTGGGCTTTGAGTAAAGCAGGTTACCCTTGATAGTGTGGGTGGACCTCACCCAGCCAGTTGAAGGTCTTAAGATCAAAAACTTCAGGTTTTTCTGAGGAAGAAGAAATTCCCCCTACTGGCTGAAGCACCAAATTCTGCCTGAGAGTTTCCAGGCTGAAGTTCTGACCTGTAGGTTTCACACATGCACACACACACACAATTACATACTCACATGTGTGCACACATTCGCATCCGTAAACAACACACACACACACACCCCCAATCTCTCTCCCTCTGGCTCTGTCTCTCTGGAAGAACCCTGACTGATACATCAACTATCGTTAAAATAATCCTTGAAGTAATAGTGGTAGATGGTATGAAATTTGGCAAAAAGATTTCCATCTCTCCCCTCTATTTGTATACAATCCCAGAGCAGGAGTCACGCTGAAAGCAGGTAACTAATCAGAATCAGATGAGCATACACTGTGTGAAGCATATCGACAATCCCTAATGTCCCTGTATAAATTACGCCGGAATTACACACGAAGTGTAAAAGGAAACAAAAGACCCCACTATGCGGTTGACAAATGAGGGACAACCGATGAAGGTTATATACGTACGGTATAAATAATTACTTCACAGGTACATTTAAGAGTTTAGTATACTGGGTAGACTAAAATAGAAATGACAGAATTGATGAAATCTGGTTTTCCTTCTTAGTTCTGATGCTTAAACAGCTGTGTGCTCTTGCGAGCCCAGCTTCTGCGCCTGTAAGCTGGGGCTCGTCACCGATTCTCCTGGAGCTGTTAGGAGGATTAGACAAAGTAATAATGCGTGCGGTGCCTTGCAGAAGGTGAATGGCTATGCTCATCCATGCATACTCAGCAGGTGGGTGAGAGTAACAGAGTAATGAAAAATACAACATCAGCAGGCAAGGGGCAGCAGGAATCTTGTAAGTAAGGGCGTTCAAAGCAGTCTAGAGAAGAATTTAGAATTCTTGATCTACATGTGAACAGAAAGGCATGTGAAGGTCCCTAGAACAGAAGGAGCACGTAGAGGTTACACTCCGGGAGGAAAACTTGAGCATCCCAGAGCAGAAGGTCCCATCTTGGCTCTAGTGAGGACAGGCAGCTTGGGGCTCCTGCAGAGGAACAAGGCTGGGTTTGGAAACAAATCAAATCAAGGACCATGAGTCGAAGTGTCCCAAAGTCTGCTATCAGGAGGCAGCACAGGGAGAAAGGCTGTTGAGCCAAAGCAGAGACAACAAAGCCTCTGAAGTGCCCTGTCCTGGAGGGATGGGGTCACCCACACCGCAACCCCCAGAGCAGAGGGCGGTGCAGGTGGGATTCCAGGCGGACCTCAGCTTTCAGCACCCTACATTTGGACGGAAGATAGAGCAATCGCTCGTTTTCTATGACGTGAAATGACCCGAGGGAAGCTGCAACCGTCCTGTCAAGGGCTGGTTTCTCCCATGATGACGGACAATGGCAGGTATTTTCTATTGTGTTTCACAGAACATATTCCTTAATGTTCTAACTCAGAAGGAATTGGAGGTTTTCATCAAAAACCTCCTCATTTTACACATGAAACTAATGAGGCCCCACATCAATTACCTCAAACCACGACTCACCAGTGACAGCACTTTATAATTTTTTTTTTTTTTATTTTCTTCCCCCAAAGCCCCAGTAGATAGTTGTACGTCATAGCTGCACATCCTTCTAGTTGCTGCATGTGGGACGTGGCCTCAGCATGGCCGGAGAAGCAGTGTGTCGGTGCGCGCCCGGGATCCGAACCCGGGCCGCCAGCAGCAGAGCCCGCGCACTTAACCGCTAAGCCATGGGGCTGGCCCAGCACTTTATGATTTAATCGTGCCATGTGCCACCCATCAGGCGTATTTAGAAAGTACGACCTGCTCGTACTTTTTAAGTTAAGTAAACCCACATTATGCTCCCTTACTTTCATCAGCTAAATTCCGTAAGGTACAGCTTTCCGTCTCAGACAACAGCAGAAGACGTCTTCCCCCGTTCTCGGTTGACAGCGTCCCCACTCTGGCTGCTTCTCCTCCCCCCGACAGACTGTTAGGTTCACACCCAGCAGCTCAGCGACGTTCTCACGACCACACACAATTAGAGCACTTTCCGGGGAGTAAATGAAGTGCTTTACATGACATGACACGAGGAAGCTGTGGCAACAAGGCCCGCTGCCTGGGTCACAAGCTGATAACCCTTCTCCACCTGCTGCTCACTGGCACGTGCCAGACAGACACAGCCCTTGGATTCCCAGTGGACACAGGAATGGCTCCCTCGTTTCACAAAGCAAGAGAGCAAGCTGCTCATTAGCATTCCTTGAGGATCTTCTCTGAGGCAAGCAGAGGTCGAGGGACACGTTTGCTTGGTAAGGCATTAGAAATAGGAAAATGGACGTCACACTGACTTCTTCTGATTGTTTCCTGAAATCCCTCTACTTTAAAATATCGTCTCAAAATAGTTCTCTAAACTTTCAAATGCTGTGAAATGTGATTTACTATTTATTAAGGGATTTGTGATGATGAAATCTTCTTCAAAAGGACATTACATCAGTGAATAAAATTTTAATAATGGAGAAATGTCAGATAAGAAGTCAAGAGTAGACTTTATCCATATGTTCAGCATGGGCACGAGTAATTTTGCCACCTGAACCTAGGAAAGACACGATAGATAGGTTTTTCCAGCCCGCTGGTGCTCAGAATCTCAACACCGTGAATCTGTAAAGGGACATCAGAGTGGTGGGACCATCGACTAGACCGGCCACTTTACAGATTGGCAGATCGAGGTCTTGAGAATGTTGTAATTTCTCATGGACAGAAACAAGTGGCAAAGCCCTGAACAGAGTTTTAGTCCTAGATACTGTCTCAGGTTTTCTTTCTACCTGTGTTGATTCATTTGGAGTAACTGTTTCCGATCCTGTTAACGTACCTATCAACGCCTGGATACCTCCTACTTTCTGCAACACAGAACAGAGTCAGCTCAACGGTGGGGTAACACTCCACAGCCGCGCGGCCAAACCCTCCCCCTCCCGCCCCAACCTCACTTCTCCCCAGCACACACATCTACCCTCACATGTCTGCACACACACGTGAGAAGAAGAACATGCATGCTTTCAGCTCAATTCATCACTGACTGGTCCAGCGATCTCTAAAGGAGGAATCATGGAACTGGTCGTTTACTTCCCTTTCCAGGACACGTTTTTAATACCTTACACGTTTCCGTGGGGAATAACTTTGAAAACAGGGACACACTCACGTGCGAGGGACACGCCAGGGACGTGCCTGATAACAGGTACCACCAGGAACTTGTGGGGAAGGAGCAGCACCCAGACGTCTCCAGCCCACTGCGGACCTGCAACCTGTGACGCGGATAAGGGACGGCACAGGCAGAGGCAGGCTTGGGCAGGGACTGTCCCATCTTGTCCCCACGCTCCTCCCCCTTCCTTCTCCCTCTCCCTTCCCTCCTCACGTCCTTTTCCGCTCCTTCACTCCAGACAGCCCACTGTGTGCAAAGATGCGTGGAATCAGCCATAAGGAACGTCAGACAACTTCCGAGAGCAGCCAGCCCTGCACCGTGTTTGCTCCTGTTTCAATGTCTTCCTCCTCTCTGATTTGATCACACAAAGAGCCAAGAAGTCCTCCCCCGAACCACGTGTGTCTTGTTGCAAGCCACTGCTCCTCAGTAGCCGCTAACCAGACCGAGTCAGGACTTCACGAAGGAGACGCCGCCACCAGTCTGAGGAGCTAACAAACGTGACCTTCACACCGAGTGTTGCTTAGCCTGTGCCCAGCTGGACAGTGAAACAAACCACGCACAGCACGGATTCCCAGCTGCAGCTCCCACTTCCGAATGCGTGGAGAAACACACTCGCACTCGGCCCCGAAACTCGCCTCAACCTCAGTTCCTCCACATTTTGTCCACACAAATACTAACACATTATCTGGCCCCATTTGCCTCAAAATCCTTGCGTATGGAATGAGGAGCTGGACCCACACGTAATCACTAAGGTCTCTCCGTGTTCTCATGGTTTTACACACTGATTGATCATGGAGCTCACACCTGGAAGAGTACTCGCTCCCACAATTATTTTTTGAGTAGCTAATATTATACCATGTATTTAAAAAAAAAAAAAAAACAGAACAAAGAGCCAAAGAAAATGCACGTGACCAGTTTATTCATTTTAATACCCCCTTTTTAAACCATGGTTACTATTTCAGTTCCTTCTAGTGTATAATTAAAATACAAGATCACAATCAGGCCTGTATTATCTTCAATTGCCTCTGAAAATTTCATATTCTTAAAATATAATGAATAATTGTCAGCAGGGACTTTCTCAGAATAATATTTGTGAAGATGAAATCACTTTCACATGGTAGCATCATATCTGAGCAACGCAGGATTTTCTGCCATGTAGTTAAAACTAAGAGTTATCTTTTGCGTTAACTTCCACTCTTTTGGGTGGATCATCTAAGATGTCCTTCGCTGAATGCCGTCGTTGACACTATTCTTTGCCAATTGCTTGGTGACCCTTGCGCTCAAAATCCTAGCATACTGGGGAAAACACCATGTATTACCATTTAAAAATGTTGTCATATTCTGTTCAAACCTGGTTTCAAAAGTAACACATGACTCAGGCTGAGGATGTGCTCACTTGTCAGGATATTGGTCTACTAGTAGTGGCCTTTGGATAAGGAATCGTCTTACGGAGGTTGTGAACTTACTGCATGAACTGAAATGCAAGAAGATAAACCAATTTCAAAGGATAAAGAAGGAAAATACTCTTCAGTGTTCCTGCTACTGAGTCTGAAAGGGCAGAGAGGCTTACAGGAAAACAGAGGTCAAGGTTCAGGTCATGACACCTGGGCACGAGTGTTGACTCCACCCTATAATGACTTCAAGGACTCATTTAACATCCCGGAGACACAATTTCCTGTCCTTTGACCATGGGCCTGTGAAAGTAATGTCTATATCACAGGAGGACACACTCACAGGAGGTCCACCAAAGGTTCTCCCACAGCTGGTAGGCATCAACGAGGTTTGTAACAACCACCTCTGGGGCACATTGCGCTTGAACCAGATGACGGCAGGACGGTTAGTCCAGAAAGACTGGAGTGACACGTGTGGCCACGCACAAGCCTCAGCAAACTTGTGGCTCTGGTGCGATGACCACTCCTTGTTCCTTGCACTTTAACATGTGTTTATGTCTTTATGTCATCAGATAGCCTAAGTCTGGGGATCACAGGCTACGAAGCCCACCTGTCACCTCTGTAGCATGAATGCACATGCACACACACCCACGAATACAGTCATGCACAACTCCACACATGCACACAACCACACGTTTAACAACCATTTAACTGAATGTCTTAAGTAGGTCACATCCTCTTGTGCAGACTCAATGTCTGTCTCTATTGTTTACTTAATTGTACTTAAAAAAATAACTTATTTTGGGGAGGGCCGTTTTAGGTTCACAGCAAAATTGAGAAGAAAGTACAGAGATTTCTCATATCTGCCCCTCCACAGCCTCCCCCACTACCAAGAATACCCACCAGATAGTACATTTATTACCACTGATGAACCTACACTGACACGTCATCATCACCCAGATCTCTAGTTTACGTCAGGGCTCACTTTTGGTGTTGTACATTCTGTGGGTGTGGACAAATGTATAATTATGTGTTCACCATTATAGTATTGTTCAGAGTAGTCTCACCATCCTAAAAATGCGCTGTGCCCCACCTGTTCATCCCTCCCCACCCCTAAACTCCTGGCAACCACTGATCATTCTATTGTCTCCATAGTTCTGCCTTTTCCAGAATGTTGTATAGTTGGAATCATACAGTATGTGGCCTTTTCAGATCGGCTTCTTTCACTTAGTGATACGCATTTAAGATTCCTCCATGACTTTTCATGACTTGACAGTGCATTTCCTTTTAGCACTGAACACTATTCCATTGTCTGGATGTACCACAGTTTACTTATCCATTCACCTACTGAAGGACATATTGGTTGCTTTCAAGTTTTGGCAATTATGAATAAAGTTGCTATAAATAGCTGTCTGCTCACTTTTTACGTGGACATAAGTTTTCAACTCCTTCGGGTAAACACCAAGGAGTGGGATTGCTGGATCACATGGTAAGGGTACGTTTAGTTTTGTAAGAAACTTCCAAACTGTCTTCTGCAGTGGCTGAACCGTGGTGCATTCCCACCAGCAATGAGCAAGCGTTCCTGATGCTCCATATCTTCACCAGCATGAGGTGCTGTCACGCTCTGGATTCGGCCATTCTAATAAGCGTGCAGTGGTATCCCACTGTTGCTTTAATTCGCATTTCCCTGATGACGTATGACGTGGAGCAGCTTTTCATGTGCTTATCTGACATCTAAATATTTTCTTTGGTGAGGTGTCTGTTAAGATCTTTGGCCCATTTTTAATCAGTTTGTTTGCCTTCTTATCATTGAGTTTTTAGAGTTCTTTGTGTATTTTGGGTTAGCCATCCTTTACCAGACATGGCTTTTACAAATATGTTTCTCCTTAAGTGTGGCTTGTTTTTTCATTTTCTTAAGTATCTCTTGCAAAAAAATTTTTGTTTTTTGCTGAGGAAGATTCACCCTGAGCTAACATCTGTGCCAATCTTCCTCTATTTTGTATGTGGGTCCCCCCCACAGCATGGCCACTGATGAGTGGTGTATGTCCACGACTGGGAACCAAACCCAGGCTGCTGAGGCGGAGTGCACTGAACCTAACCACTAGGCCACAGGGCTGGCCCCAGAAATCTTTAATTTTAATCAATTCCACCTTATTGATTCTTTCATGGATTGTCCCTTTGATATTGTGTCAACTAAGTTATTGTCAAACCTAAAACTATCTAGATTTTTCTCCTATGTTATCTTCTAGGAGTTTTATATTTATGTTTATATTTAGGCATTTTACATTTATGACTGTGGTCTATTTTGAGTTAATCTTTGTGAAGGGTTAAGGTTGTGTCTGTATTCAACTTTTTGCATGTGGATGTCCAGTAATTCCAGCACCATTTGTTGAAAAGACTGTTTTTGCACCATTGTATTGCTTTTGCTCCTTTGTCAAAGATCAATTGACTGTATTCATGAATGTCTATTTCTGGGCTTTCTCTTCTATTCCATTGATCTATTTGTCTGTTTTTTCACCAATACCACACTATCTTTATTACTGCAGCTTTACAGTAACTCTTGAAGTGGGGTGGTGTCAGTCCTCAACTCTGTTCTTCTCCTTCAATGTTGTGTTGACATTCTGGGTCTTCTGCCTCTCCATATAAAATTTGTAGATACCCAGAAATTAACTTGCTGGGACTTTGATTGGGATTGCATTTAACCTATAGATCAAATTGAGAAGAGCTGTGATTTGGCAATACTGAGTCTTTTTACACATAAACATGGAACATACCTTCATTTATTTAGTTCTTCTTTGATTTATTTCATCAGAGTTTTGCAGTTTTCCTCATATGGCTCTTGTACATACTTTGTTCACTTATACCTAAGTAATTCATTTTTGGGGGTGATAACATATATGGTATTATGTTTTAAGTTTTAAATTCTACTTGTTCATTGCTGGTATATAGAAAAGTGATTGATTTTTGTATATTAACCTGGTATCCTGAAACCTTGCTGTAACCACTCATTAGATCTGGAATTTTTTTTGTCAATTTTTTCAGATTTTCTGCACAGACAATGATGTCATCTGTAAACAAGGACATTTTAATTTCTTTCTTCCCAGTCTATATAGCTTATATTTCCTTTTCTTGTCTTATTGCATTAGCAAGCACTTCCAGAATGATGTTGAAAAGCAGTGCTGAGAGGGACATCCTTGCCTTGTTCCTGATCTTAGTGAGAAAGCTTTGAGTTTCCCACCATTAAGTATGATGTTAGCTGTACGATTTTTGTAGATATCCTTTATCAAGTTGAGGAAGTTCTTCTCTATTCCTAGTTTACTGAGAGTTTTTAGCATAAATGAGTGTTAGATTTGTCTAATGCTTTTTCTGCATCTATTGATATGATCGTGTAATTTTTCTTCTTTGGCTTGTTGATGTGATAATTACATTAACTGACTTTCCAGTGTTGAACCAACCTTGCATACATGGGATAAATCTCACTTGGTGTGGTGTACAATTCTTTTTATATATTGTTGGATTTGATTTGCTAATATTTTGTTGAGGATTTTTGCATTTATGGTCATGAGAGATATTGGTTTATAGTTTTCTTATAATTTCTTTATCTGGTTTTGGTATTAGGGTGAATCTGGCCTCATATAATGGGTTAGGAAGTATTCCCTCTGCTTCTATCCTCTGAAAGAGACTGTTGAAAATTGGTACAATTTTTTTCCTTAAATGTTTGTTAGAATTTACCAGTGAATCCACTGGAATTGCTGCTTTCTTATTTAGAATGTTGTTAATTATTGGTCCAATTAATTTAATAGATTTAAGCCTATTCCAATTATCTATGTCTTCTTGTATGAGGTCTGGAAAATTATATCTTTCAAGGAATTATTCAATTTCATCTAGTTTATCAAATTTGTGAGCATAGAGTTGTTCATAAAATTCTTTTAGTATCCTTTTAATGTCCATACGATCAGTAATGATGCCCCCTCAGTCATTCCAATATTAGCAAATTGTGTCTTCTCACTTCTTTTTTATAGTTAGTCTGGCTAGATTTTATTAATATTATTGATCTTTTAAAAGAACCAGTTGTTGGTTTCATTGATTTTCTCTATTTCTTGTTTTCAATTTTATTGATTTCTCTTTTAATTCTTATTATCTCTTTTCTTCTGCTTACTTTGGATTTAATTTGCTATTCTTTTTCCAGTTTCCTAAGGTAGAAAGTTAAATGATTGCTTTTTAATCTTTTTGCTATTCTAATTTATGCTCTCAATGCTCTAAATTTCCCTCCAAGCACTGCTTTCACTGCACCCCATAAATTTTGACAAATTGTATTTTTGTTTTCCTTTCATTTCTCTTGAGATTTCTTCTTTGCCCCATGTATTATTTAGAAATGTCTTGTTTAATCCCCCAAATATTTTGGGATTTTTATAGCTATCTTTCTGTTATTGATTTCTAGTTTAATTTTATTGTGGTTTGAGAGCAGACTTTGCACGATTTCTGTTGTTTTAAATTTGTTAAGGTATATTTTTGTGGCCTAGAAAGTGGTCTATCTTGGTGAGTGTCCACGTGAGCTTGAGAAGGATGTATATTCTACTGGTTGCTGGATGAAGTAGTCTATAGATGTTTATGGTATCCAGTTGACTGACGATTTGGTTGAGTTCAGCTATGTCCTTACTGATTTTCTGCCTGCTGGATCTGTCCATTTATGATCAACTGTACTTTTGTGTTTGTGCTGGCTCAACTGGCATTCACTTGGCAATCCTTCAATTCCCTTCTCAAAGCTCATCTGTATCATAAAAGAGATGATACAGGTATTATGTTTCCCCAGATTCTTTCCTGTGTGTCTCAGGGTTAGAGTTTGCTGAGAGAAACTCATGAAAGATTTGGAAGTTGAAAGAAGAGAAGCCAATGGTCTCTCAAGTCAAATAAGCAGACCATTGGGCAGACAGCTCTTCAGGGGCTGCCTAATAGCTCTGAGCACTATGGCTTCACCACTGCAGACAACAGGAGTTATATAAGTATGCTAGAGTTTGTGAGGATTGCAGCAGATTCCTAGCTTCTTCTTGAGATCCAACTACTTTAGTTCTTGATGTTCAGATTTTTGATGGCACATTCCTTGCCCTTTGCCCTCCCAGAGATTCCAATGTGCTGTGAGTAACTACACCCCCATTTTCAGACTATTATAGCTAGAATTCCTGGAGTTGCTCCTGGTTTCCTGATGGAATCCTCGTGGGTAGTGTTTAGATGTGGGGATAGGGTGCGATGGATGCTTATGTTGCACTAGAAAACTTGAGACAGAAAACAAGAAAGCTCAGGGGTTAATATTTACATCGTAAGCCATGGGTAGAGAGCTAGAAAACTCCATGGTCCTCTTGAAATGATTCCTTATTTCTTTAACTACAGAATCGAGGTTTATGAAAACAACTCAAAATCTGATACAGCAGGTGGCAGAATGATAGAACTTGTGGGCTCGACAGGCCTGTCGTGTTATAGTTAAGGCACTGACTGGCAAAGAGTGGGAATGGGAACGGATTCCAATGTATCTGTGTTCTCTGCATTCTCATCTCCCACTGGACTCTTCTCCCCCTTCCTCTTCTATCTGTGGGTAGTTTCCTTTTCTCTGAAGATCCTGGAATGATCGTCCTGAGGCAACAGCCTGAGAGGGAAAGGCTGATGCTTGAGATCCAGTGCCTCCAATTTCCATTATTTCCACACCCATAACTAGTCTCAGATCTTGGTCTAAAGTAAGACTTCAGAAGAGTTATTCCATGTACATCAAATCAACTGCAATATTTTGTCAAATTATCATGGCAGAAACCTTTGAGTGTACATGGGAATGTGTGCTGAGGGTGTTAAATCTTCTGCTGGATTGGGCAAAATGTACTGATATGGGTGCACTGACCGAAGAATTGGATTCAGTCTGTTGGTTCAAGCAGCTGAGAAGGACTCTAATGGGTCCCATTGTTTGTTGACTGAAATCAGGACTCACAGTGGCCAAATTAAGTGAGCTTGAGATGCCAGAGCTTCCTTGATATGCTGCTCAAGAAGTAATGCAGAGGGTTATAGAGACACAGTGCCTTGCTCAACCACTCCCTTGCTGAAACCACACCCAGTCCTCCAGGGAGGGTCCAGAGGACACTCCCTTCTCCAACAGATTGAGAAAAGCCTGGGTGAGGGAAGCACTGGCACCTTGTAGAGGCTCTGTTGTGGTAGTTTTCTCCTGAGGAGGGATGGTAAGGGGCTATGGCTCCATTTAAATTGGTTCCCTGAATCCCAAAAGATGATGGGATCCTCAAATGGCAGAGCCTAGGTGGCAGCCCTTAACCCCAGAAAAGGTGGTTTGGTTCCCTTGATGGGCGGGAGGGTTGATGGTTTGACTGCAGAGATATTTGGCCATGACTAATTGATTATGCAGCCCTTAGGATTGATAGATGGGGACTATATTACAGTTGTAATTGAGCTGTATAAGCGATAAATCTCTAGATCTGGTGAACAGAGACTTGACTTGTTATCACAATATAGAGCCATAAAGTCTCAATCAATTCTGATAACTAAGTCAACTCATAGACCCACAGTCCCTTGAATAAAGGATAGTCTAAGTCCACTTGAGGAAACACTGCCAAACATTTTTACTGCAAATCTTCCTCTTAGCTTCCATGAAAGGACTTGTGGTACCAGTGACCATGCATTGTGAAAGCAAAGCTCCCAGATGCTAGCTCTGAACTGATGCTATCTCCCAGAGACCCAGTACCCACTATGGTCCACCAGTCAGAGCAGAGTCTTAATGTATCCCAGTTGATAACTGTCCATCGAGGCTTGAGTGTCACCTGTCCCACAAAGCCACAGAAGTTGGACATTTGCATCTCCATTACCAGGGGGGAGTGGTTTATACAAGGCTGGGCTTGACCAGGTCCTAACAGAGGAAGTGAGTGCATGAACAACGGTCTAGACGACTACTACCACACTAACACCTCTCCTGCAAACCACACCCATGGCTTTATTAGGAGTTTTGTTTCCCATTCCTATGACTTTTAACTCTACCAATTTAGAGGTCTGGGAATTGAGCAAAAGTGGTGCTGAACCAAAGGTATCTACTGAAATCTCCGTGGGGTATCAGGTAATTCTAATGTGCCCTGGGGTTGAGAATCACCTCTCTAAACAGCTTTCCAACTCATGAATAAGAAAATATTGTTGATTGGTTATCTCGCTCTCTGTCATCTATCTGTCATTTATCTATGTATCTATCTATCCATCTATCTTTCATCTGTCTAATCTATTTATCTTAGCCTGTTTCTCTATCTGGCACTAATGCTCCTTATAACAAGATGGAAAGGCTGCTAGAATCTCCTACCAGTTCATGATGATGGGGCTTCTGGAGACTTTCTCATATGAGCAGAGACTAAGAGAACTGTGACAATTAACCCCGAGAAGAGATGTGAGGAAGCAGTGGGAGGAGGCAGAGAGTAACTACTTGAGCAGGCTGAGAGGCTGCCCGAGGCAGAGAAGTCCCAATTAACCCATGATTCGAGAGCAGAGGCAGAACCAGGTGAAGGAGCGAGTCCTCCTTCAAGTCCAACAGTGATTTCGTTATAATTTCTAGAATACAGCTTTTCATTCCCTCATTAGACCACACTCATCCTTGTGGGCAGAGGCGTTGCTTATATATGATGTGATGCCCTGCTTTAGGATTAAGCGTAAGAGAACCTGGAGCAACAGGAAAGTGAGCCTCAGCTCTTATCAGGAAACCCTTCTAACAAACGCCACTGCTACACATGGAATAAACCGCCCTGTGAGCCAGTGAGTGAACTGTCACATTCCTGTGCAGGGCGGACAGCCCAGAGCTGCTGCTTGGAATGGATGATCTGGAAGGTTCTGTTTTGCTCTGAGTGTCCACATCATTTTTTGTTTTACTAACACAAGTGATGGACCTTATTTCTAAGGGTTCTTGAGTTCAAGATCACCTGAACTTAGAATCTGTCCTGAGACCTTAGTGACAACAAAAGCTGCTATAGATGACTCGAGCACGTATAAAAAAGGACAAATTTCAACAAAAAAGGAGGCTCCCTGAATTGAGTTAGTGAATTTTAATCAATTAGGGCAGTTTTTATTAATGGTTTTCACAGGACCTAAGAACTTAGACTATATTAGATTAGAAGTAATTTTCTATTACAATATCCTAATTTAACAGTTGAGATTTTTTAAAATTTCTGACCATATTGCAGAGAAATGAAATCCCGTAACATTTCTCATTCTGACATCCCTCAAGACAGAGCACTGAGCCCGCTCTGGCCCTCACTGGACTCTCAGCCTGGGTTCTGCCTGTGGGGAGCTGCAGGGGCCGGATCACGGCAGCCATCACTCCCCAGAGAGCACATGGCAGTGGGGTTCCCCCAGGGGACAGCTGCTCCTGCGTCACCTCCTCCCCAGGTATCGCTAACCTCTGCACCCAGACGTCAGACCCAGTGATTTTCCCACCATCAGTGTCTCAGAAGTTGCCCCATACCCTGATGGACAGTGTACTCTCTGCCACGGCTGCTAGGATGTTATTTACCACAGTGTGTTAAAAAGAGGGAAATAATGTGTTTATTCTCATATTATATCTTATATTTATATACTATGGGAATAAACATATTTTTGTGGTCCTAAAGTAGTAAAACTTGTCCAAAGCGGGAGATAGCATGTAGACTGATTAAGATTCATTTTATGGATCTTTTGTGTTGAGCAGAGCTGACATTTTTTTTGCTTTTAGAATTAATTGAAGCTAGAATTTACTGTGAAAAATGAGGGTATGAAACTGTGTGATTTATGAAGTCTCTTATAAATTTAATATTCTTATGAACTTTATGAATCTGAAAAATTGAGATGATACGTCTCATTAACAGTGCTCCAATCATGTCTTTTGTGTCACATAAGAATGCAGACATATAATTTGATAATTTGGTTCAAAAATATGTTTGTATCAGTCAAATACTGGAATAGCTCTGTTTATAAGATTTACACATCATTTATTCAAAAATCTGCTTCTTGGATGAAAGCTTTTCACTTTCCCTGGGCTGGGATGAAAGTTATCAAGGTGTGCACTGTCTCTCTGAATTATTATCAGTTTTCTCACCTTAATAAAGCAAGCTCTTGCAGAAATTGGAAAACCAACACAAATGTTCAGTTTAGAAAGTAAATAGATGAGAACATTTATTTGTTTGAACATAAACCTAAAACTGTAAGTCCCTTGAGATCAAGCAACGTGTTCATCCCCTTGGTGAGTCTTTTCTCTGCGCCTGGCACATGTTGGAGGTCAATCAACAGGTCTTGAATGAAGAAATGGATGAATGCACCAGCAGCACATGCTGCGTGATTCTCCACTTAGTAAGAAATTACTAACAGACTGTGTACTGGTTTCATGGAAATTTAGTGTTATGCAGGTCAGACGACTTCCTGCCCCTACTTGGAACTAAAAGTTGGCTTACTGAAGAAACACTGATGAACGCAGGCATGGATGAAGGTGTGCACACCTATCCCTACAGAGGGGATGGTAACAAATTGAAATGTTGCCCGATTTTGCTGTATGAGGCAGAATAAACGCCTTGCAAGGGACTCTCAAGCTAGCGTCTTTTGTTCCAGGTGGCTTTCCCCCTTTGGCCCCTCCCCTCTCCCCCTTCCCGTGGCCACCCCGTGCTCAGGCCACTGCATGTGGACTGCTCCACCTGGCCTTCTGTCTCCCTCTCCCTTCCTCCCATTTTTCGAGATCCAGCTTTATCACCATCTGCAGCTCTGTGCCCACCCCAGGCACCGTGCGTTACTCTGTGCCCCCGCTGCCCCTGGTCATACGCGCCAGGGCATGCAGCCACATCACATGGATGTACCGCAGGGCTTCTCTGTCCCCAAATGCCGGAACTAATGCGTCAGACTGGATGTTTAATCCATCTTTCCTTGTATGGTGGAGTGTGACCTGACACTGGCCAAAGTTCATCTCCAGGAGGAGCGCTGGGCAAATGCCACCATTCCAGACAGCTACTGGAGGTGTGCACCACGCCGCATCCTCCAAGGCGAGGGTGCTGCGTACAAATGTGCGCGAGGGGGCCGGCAGGAGGAAATCCTGACAGACACCACTCAGCACGGCCAGTGACCCCAGAGCCACCCAGGTGGAGTCCCCCACTCCTTGACTCTCAATCTTCCCATCTTTAAAAAGAGGAGCAACGAGATTTACCTTTGTAGTGTCTGTGAAGACCCCTTGCACTTGTTTGTGATGTGCCTCTTGGCACACAACACAGCAGGCATTTCGTAAAGGTCCCTTTGGAACATGACTTTCTAAACCTTTTAAGCTTTTCTTCCCAATTCTAAAACTCTATGTCTATGAACACACTCAGTGAAATACAAATTTAGAGAAAAAATAACTAGAATGAAAGAATACCCAATACACAGAACAAAAACTATAAAATGTAATACACTTACCACTTCTTCATGGGTTGCATTTTCTACATTAATGCCATTAACCTGAAAAAATGACAAATTAAGAATTTTGATGATAATAATTGATTACTATATATTTAAAATTAAATTGCAACAAAGCTAAGGATTAATGTTTAAAATACTGACCTGCAGAACGGCATCTCCTATGAACAGCATCCCTGTTTGGTCAGCTGCAGGGTCACAAAAGTGGTAACAGTGTTAACAGAAGTTCAGGGACTGTGTAACCTTTGTTACAGTGGCTGCTTAAGCTTAATGTTCACAGCAACTGGAATGGGTGGTGTGTGTCTGCGTGTGCGTGCACGTGTGCATGTGGGTGAATGTGCGTGTGTGTGCATGTGCACATACAAATGAGTGTGCATGTGAAAATGTGAACAGATGTGTCAATGTGCATGTTTGTGTTAATGTGGGTGTGCATGTGTGCACATGTGTGAGAACATGAGCACACATGTCACTGGCACATGGGTGTGAATGTGCATGTGTGTGTACACGTACGTGAATGTAAGAATGTGAGCATGTGTGTGTCAATGTGCCTGTAGGTATGAATGTGCATGTGTGTAAATGTGGGAATGTGAGCACGTGTGTGTCAATGTGTGTGTGTGTGTGGGGTGTGCATAAATGTGCATGAGTGTGGGAAAACGCCAACAGCACAGCCCAGGCAGCCCCCCAAAAGCTAAACAGATGGCTAATTTTAAGCACATTAAGAGAGTTACTTTCCAAACACAGAGGCTTGTTTGCTGTGGGATGCAAATGGCACTCCCCCAGTGAAGGATTTCACTCCACACGGAAAGTCTGATTCCCATTTTCATTAAGTCGACACAGACAATAAAACAGGAATCCCAGAAGCCACTCAGCCTCTTCCTCTCTTTCTCAGGAACAAATTTACACAAACTGCTTTAATTAAACAGACTGTGCTGAGAATATTAAAGTAAAAGAAAAACTTTGTAAAGTTTGAATAAAATCTCTACAGTATTATTTCTGCTTAACCTTTCTACCCTCACAGTGGCCGAGGGAGAGCTCCTTTCAGTGAGGCTGAGCACACTCGCACAAAATGTAAAGCATTCTTATAGATTTTTGTGTTTTCATGTGGATTTGTTTTCATTTATGTCTTTAACTAAATATTGGAAACCAACTAATAAGCTATTCTTTTAACACTGGAATTCTCTTTAAATTCCATGTACATATTTAATGTCAATTGTTAATATTATTTCTAGTTATTGACAAGTATTAAATTTTGTTGAAAATAAGATATAGCCTTTCTATTACTGAATGTAATGGCACTGATTTTAGTAACTAATAAAGTTCTCATTGACACTGAGCCTTTGCCCAGAAAACCTTCCACGACCCATCTGGTGTGACCCACTCTCCCTTGGGCTCCCTCAGTCCTGTCAGAGTCTCTCCCTCCCTCCTTCTCTCCCCCTTCTTCTGTCTCTGTCTCTCTTTGTCTCTTTCCTTCTGTGTCTCTGTCTCTCTCTCTCCCTCTCTCTGTCTCTGTCTCTCTCTGTGTCTGTCTTTCTCTCTGTCTCTCTCCCTCTCTATATCTCTGTCTCTCTCCCTCCCCATTCTCTCCCTTCCATTTTGACGGAACACCCTCTCTGGCTCTGAGCTGAGTCCAGGAAACCTTGCGACACCGACTTCAGGGGCTCAAGGTCTATCAGGTGAAGTGGAGAGGTGAGATTCCACACGACGTCACACCGGTATTATTGATGACAGATGATACACATATTCTGTGAAATTACAGATGGTAGAATCTGCATCCAAGTAGCTATCACACAACACGACAGGCGTGAACGGGGTCCTGACAAACCGCAGAGGCAGGACACTTAGTGCCATCAGGTGCGGTGGGGACGTCAGGAAAACCAAAAACACAGACGTCAGAGTCCCACCTTGAAGAAGATGAACAGGAAAGAGGGGACACCACTGGGCACGGTCAGGCTGGGACAGGGAGAGGCATGCGGTGGGGTGCATGGTGAGAAGTGGGGTGAGATGTGGGGTGAGGTATGAAGTAAGGTGTGGACTGAGTGTGGGCTGAGGTATGGGGTAAGGTACGAGGTGAGGTGTGGGGTGAAGTGTGGGGTGAGGTACGAGGTGAGGTGAGGAGTGAGGTGGGGGGTGAGGTGTAGGGTGAGGTGTGAGGTGTGGGGTGAGGTATGAGGTGTGGGGTGAGGTATGGGGTGAGTTATGGGGTGAGGTGTGCAGTGAGGTACGAGGTGAGGGGATGGGTGAGGTGTGAGGTGAGGTACGGGGTGAGGTATGGGGTGAGGTGTGCAGTGAGGTACGTGGTGAGGTGGGGGGTGGGGTGGGGGGTGAGGTGTTTGGTGAGGTGTGGGGTGAGGTGTGGGGCATGGGGTGAGGTGTGGGGTGAGTTGTGGGATGAGGTGTGGGGTAAGGTGTGAGGTGTGGGGTGAGGTGTGGGGTGAGATAGGAAGTGAGGTGTGGGGTGAGGTACGGAGTAAGATGTGAGGTGAGGTGTGGGGTGAGGAGTGGGGTGAGGTGTGGGGTGAGGTGTGGGGTGTGGGGTGAGGCATGAGGTGAGGTGTGGGGTGAGGTGTGGGGTGAGGT